TGGCTAAYTCAAACAAAATATCTTCAAGTAATTACAGGAGTCAAGATAGTCTATATCAATTTGTGCTTTAGAACTATTGCTAGCTTCCTCTGGGAAAAGCTGAAGTAACCATATATTGTAGGAAAAAAGGTTTTTGCACATTTGACACAAATACACATGTCAACACCAGAAGAGACATAATAACATCTAACAATCCTCTTTAAATTTTCCTGAAGCAAAAAAAAAAAAAAATCTATTCCATGAAATACTTTTCTATGGTAATTATTAATTTAATGCTTTTGCAAGTATACAAGAGAGCTCTACTTTTTCCTTGGTCAGTAATGACAGCAAACATGTCTACATCTAGGAATATATATATGTATACATATTTACATACATACATATTTAAGATCATCTAGAGAAAATGGGACAGTCTCATACACATATTCAGAGTGTCACAGATATTCCACATAGGTCCACATTAGTGAGCTTTATGTATTGCCAGTGTTCTATATGAATAGAGTAGAAAAGCAAACCTTTGCTAATGGAACTCCTCTCTATCCATTCATAATCATACCACTTCCACCTAGAAAATTTAGGTGGAAGTGGTATGATTAGCTCCCATAAGAAAAATGCCTGTCCTTCTCACCAAATTTCTCCTGGGTAAACATAAATGTAATTGTAATTTGTTCTGGGAATTCAACATTCAGTTACACTGGCTACAGATGAATTGTAGTGACTCACTGTTTTTCCTGTGTGGAGGTAATATCCATAGAAAAAGAAATGTTCCAAGTGGAGAAAATACAGCTTMATGTAGATTAATTAATGAATTTCTCTGGGGTAAGCTTTACTTTTTCCAACCAGTTAAAAGAAAAACAACTATGTATTTGTCTCAGATCCCTGAGACATATTATAGGACAGCTCCCATCCTTCCCAGATAAAGTGACTCATTATCTGTGCATAATCAATTGGGGAAAACCTGTATTATCAAGAGGGGATAGAATATGGGGTATAAATGAAATGATTCACATTCCAATTGTGTCACATTCACATACCATGGGTTCCCTGGTGAATCAAAAACTGTACAATTCAGTCGGTGTTTTCTCTTTGATTATCTTAGGTTTCTGTTTGTGCTCTCATGCCAAATATATTCTATTTTCATTACAAYTTTAATCTTTGGCTGATGAGAGTTCTTTTTAAATGTTCCCATTCCAGTTTTGTACATAACCGAGGTTGCAAATGGAATTTATAATAGCAAAACAGGAATTATAAATCTGAGCTAAGGTTGAGATGAGGAAAATTAAGCATTCCAACCTGGGGCCCACTAACGCTTCTATAATTCTCTTCTATTCCCTTGCTTTGTCATCTGTTGGATGGGTGTGCAATAACAGTTCYCTCTTATGTTGCTTAATGGAAGGAAACCCATTTCATGCATTTGTTTTTTTGGAGAAGGCTTACAATTATAGTATTTTAAATCTGAATGTATACCTAGGGGGTGGGGCAATTACTTGTTGTTATGTAATTTCTAATGATAGCATTGTTTAAAATCGCAGATTACAGAATAGGAAACATAGGTGCAATTTCAGAAGGCTAAAAAATAAGTCAGAGCTGAAATATGAAGGGCCTGAATGCCATCCAAAAGAATTTGCATTTTACTCTATAGGACCCATTATTTGGTGAAATTATTTTCACAGAGCATTTGTGCTAGAGGATGTTATTATGCTCAAGGCAAGCTCAGTTAAATACATTTGGGTTTACTTATAATAGGCCTTAAATATGCTTATGTGCATTGTGATTCTACAAGAGGGGGTTTTTATTCTCTTTCTCAAACTAAAGAATGCAACATGGTAATAGACGTATAACAAATGTGACAAATGTTCCAGTTTGACATGGCAATGTTGGAGATGAAGAAAAGCTAGCTGTTATTATTATTTCAAAATTTTCTATGTAACAGGAAAGGAAAAATGAGGCTTGCCCTAACTTGTTCTTCCTAGGCTGCAACTGGTCCATCTTTCCCCCTTACTCCCAAACTGAGCATTCCCAGCTCATTTTTAAGAATTCCCTCCCCCACAAATTTCAACTGTTGAGTTAGACTTTCTGTTCTTTAACCAAATAGATATATACATATATATATATATATATATACACATATATATACATACATATATATATATATCTACCTGTGCATTCTTTTTTTTTGCGGCCAATAATAAACAAGTACATTCATGTTCCTGGCTAATTTATACTTTGACTATTTCTTCACTGGATTACCTCCAGTTTTTGCCCATTCAATCRAAGATCAGTTTATATATAGAGGAACTCTTGGTATCTAGAATTAGGAAGGAAAACTGAAATACTGACACTATTCTGCATAGGAATGTGTGATGAGAAAAGGAGACCAAGACAATACGACGGTCCAAAATATTTGTCTGGCTTGTAAGTTAGTTACCTGTTCCATGCTGGTGTTATTTCATTGTTCTGCCAACAACTACAACCCAATAATTTAGAAAGGCTGTTTGTACGGCTCCCAGTATAATGTTGTTTTGGGTGTATCCTGTGGTCATGTCAATGCATTTTCCTCTCAAATTATTTGGATGTTTACAGAAAATTCCTCAAATAGCTCAGTGGGCATCAACGTGAGCCAGAAAAATTATTTAAAAGCCTCTCCAATAATCCTGCAAACTCTCCCTTCTATGTGAGATAGTGGGGTTCCACACTGATGCCAGCAAGTAAAAGAGAAGGAAGCAGAAGGACACTCTTTGATCCAGGGTTAACAATGAAGAGAATTTTAAAAGTTCTTCAGCTAGATGGGTAAAATCTAGAATCAAGCCAGTGGAGGCTGACCAAACACTTACAAATACGTTGTCTATATTTGTACTTATTTATGACTTGCATTTCCTTTTGAGGACAATTCTAAAGATGAACAAGATTTTTACATGGTCAGGATATTTACATTAGTTTGGCTCTTTAATGGCCTCCCATCGCTCCCTCCCCTCCAATCCAAAGGCAAAAGCTGAATTTAAGGGTTTTTCATATGGGTATCCCAAAGAGAGCTTATCAGCCATAGGTTAAATATTTATGCACAAAGTGATTTTTGATGCATAGAATTCTTGTACTCTACAGATGAAGAGCAAAAATATTGCTTTTATCAGTGGATTTTATTTACAGCTCTGTCAAAATTATGTGAAAATAATTCTCTCCCAAGAATCATTCTAGACATCTTTCTATACAAATTGGAGTGAGTTTGTGTGTGTGTGGTGTGTGTGTATTTGAGAGAGAGAGAGAGAGAGAGAGAGAGAGAGAGAGAGAGAGAGAGAGATTGGTCATACAGATTAGCTCAAAAGCTATTCTGGCACAATCTGATAAACTGAATTGCATGTAATGACCTTTAAATAGTAGGCTACTACCCAGAAAGAGATGACTTCAAGCTCAAATTTCTCATAGCAAGGCCTGGATTAAAGATGTGACAACAGACTTCAGAGAGAGGGAAAATCCATTCATCATAAAAAGGCCATTAAGCTCCAGKTGTAAGAACATCTTTGACTCAGAATCTTTTATTTCCACCAAGAAAACCACTTATGCTCTTGGTTTAATGTCCTAATTTGAAAAATGGAAGACACACTAAATTAAATTTTAATTTATACTGCACTTCTATGTCTGCTTTCTTTGTTTCTCTAATGCAAAATATGCACCAAATGATACAAATCATATGTATCATTTCCATCAGAGAATCTCACCCACCAAAACAGCAATGATGCAATCTTATTTTGAAGCCAAAAGATAGAAATATTAATAATTTGCAGATGCACTTTGAAAATAATCCTTGAAATTTCTTCAAAACAACATCATTTTAGGTTACAGCACAATAGCTGATGGAAAAGAGAACTCCAAAACAAATGACATTCATGACTATTTTAGTTAATTTTTTAGTGGGAAAATAACACAAAATTGGATTTTCACGCAGGATTACAGTGGTCCTAGAAATAAAAAAGTTTTTCAATTTCTCCTCATTAAGGAAGTGAGACCATATTCCTGGGTCAATTTGTTTTTGTTTGTCCTGTCTCTAGTTCYGTCTTGATTATCTTTATATCTCAGAATCCATGACATGGATTTAAAAATCTTTTTTATTTTCTTTGGGTGGTTCTGGGAATTGAACCCAGGGTCTCATGCATGCTAGGCAAATGTTCTATGATGATCTACATCCTCTAGCTCTCCAAGGTTAAATTCAATAGATGCAGTGATCCCACAATACCYAGACTATTCATTTCGCTGTAAAGTGGAAGAAATTCAACCTTTAGTAATAGGAGTTAGTTCTACCTAAAATCACTAATGTAACTAATAGAATGCGGTCATCTTCAATAAGATCAATGCCCAGATATTGTTTTTTAAAAATCCAACAACATATCCCAGTTATAACCCCTGACCAAGACCAAATAACTGGCAACTTCGCAATCTATTTCTCCTCAGAGCTAAAATAATACAGTGCTTCAACTAGTCTCTCCTAGTTTCACTTCAAAAGAAAAGGAAGTTTCCCTTTGAAGAGTCCCTATAACACTACCTGTTTCTCTTTTCCTTGTCTCTCAATTTTCTGAAGACTTTAAGTAGAAGTCAGGCCTTGACAATAAAATATCCCATCATGTTTCAATATTCTGTTCATCTGAGAAACACAATAGGTTTCCTTGTTATCTTACACATAGATCTAAATTATTACCTGAGAACCAGAATTTACCCTCTTACTTTATAAAAATACTGTTTTTAAAGGTTTACTTAACAGCAGAATCTTTTAAAATCAATATGTAATACTGAAAACTAATCTACATATATTCTCATAAGAATTTCATCGTTGGGGGGGAAATAAAATCTAAACTGTACTGAAGTGCATCTTCTATTGCTTTTTCAGATCTTTTTATATACACTTAAGCACAAATATCCTGTGTCAATTGCTTTAGGTGCAAGGTGTTGTGCTTACCCAAAGATTTAAAAGATTATCAGTTCATAGTATTTATGGAGCAAAGCATATGTGGGTTTAAAAATGATAAAATTGGATGCAAATGTAGGTAACCATACATAACTTAGTGAAAAGATTGTGGTTCATCTTTTGGAGAAGTTGTCTCTAAAACAATCCAATTAATCACAACTTTCCTTTTTCTCTGCAATAATACACCAGTTGCCATGATCATTTCCGGAGCTCAGAATACGGAGCTCGGTCACGTTCTCCTGCAGCAGGTCACAGAGCTCACCTTCACGAAACACATGGTAGTAGCGCATAAAGGCTCTGGAATCCAAAATGTCAGGCTGTTCTTGGACAGAAATTGTGTCATCTGGGTTGGAATCTGTAGAGTCGACGGTAGAAATCCTTCTCAATATTTTACGGGCAGAAGGGTTGCCTTCCTCTAAGCTACCTGCAGTCACATGATTCTCATTGGTATTGGTGCTGTCCAGAAGGTTCCCCTCTCCATTTCTCTGATTTTCTCCTTGATGGTCTCCATTTAAGTGCTTTGAAGTACCTGAAGCTCTCAGCCACTCCAAGTGTTTTTGAGAAGTTTCTACAAACACTTCCTCATCTAAGCTTGATGCTTTCGTTGAAAATGGCTCTTGGTGATCCAAGTCTAAACTGGAATGTCGAGAAGGCTGGATGGATACRGTGCTATTGGCCCAAACTTCTGTGGTTTTCAAGGGTCTCACTTTTTCAATTTGCTTCCGCAGAGTGGACTCATCCAAAGATCTGGAGAAAAACCAGGAACGAAAAGATCTTCCTAATGTGTTATAGATGCCATTTTCTTCCTCACCTTCCTTTGAAGTGTTTCCACAACAGGTCCTAGCCATAACAGGTTCATAGTCCACGCTGTGGGACCGTTTGGAATCACATCGCTCTTTAAAACACATGGAACAGCCATACTCAGGGCAAGGGGGGTGGCAGGGATGGCTTGTTTCTGGATGTCCACACTGCCTCTTTCTCCCGGACTGGCTGGATTCTGAGAAGGGCTGGGAACAGAAGTCCCTGTTCCAAGGAACGAGCACATCTTGCTTCTCAAAATGTCGGTTCTTTTGTTCCATTGCCCAAACATAAATCATCATCTGTCCTCCGGGAACTAAAACCCTGGCCATTTCTTTTATTGCTCGGATTCTTCTTTGTTTTGTAGAAAAGTGGTGTATAACTGAAAAAGAGAAAACGAGATCTCAATGTGTGTATACACACATAAACACACACACTTAACATACATACATAATAGGTTTGCACATAACAATGATGAAATTTTGACATATAGTAAAACCTCCTTCTTTCCTACATGGGAGGAGAGACGGAAGAAAAAGCATAGGTTTTGGGAGACATAATTTTTGCTTTGGCTTCTGTACCTATTAGGCAGCTAATCTTGGGCCAGTTATTTAAGTACAATCGATTTTAAGTTTCTTAAATCATAACAAGAAGCCTAGAATAAATAACCTCTGAGATCCCATTCCAAAATCCTGTGAATTTTGTTAACCAGAGGGTCAGGTCTGAACTACTAAAATTGTAAGGAATACTAAGTTAGGTAAATGTTTTCTGGTAGGATTTTATAAAATGACTCACTGCTTTAATGAATGATTGTACTTCTATAGCAATAAAAAAATYAACATCACTAATTATTAGTGTCAATAAAATTAATAAAGCAAACAAAAATCAAGAAAAATGTTAAAGATTGCTTTTCTGTCTAAATAATATCAAAGATACGTCAGCCTACCACAAGTCCAAATGATTACATGTTTTTTAAAATGCTAATATACTATAATTGTGTGTAGTTAAAAACTAAATTGATAGATTATCATTTTGCTTCCAATCCCTTCAAAATGAGGCTCAAGAAAAACTGCCTTTATCTAGGCTTATTTTTATCCCAAATATGTAGAAAGTGTTAGTCTGTTAGTTCCTGGAGGAATCTAATCACAGTATTGAGTCAAGAGAAAACATCAAATTATTTTTCTGAACACAAGTGCACTATACATCTTAGCGAGGAAAGGAGTCCCAAGCAAAGCTGGGAGACTCTGGCTCCCATATGAGCAGTAAGGGCAGACAGTGGCTAACACCACTGCTCTAAAGCTCACCATTATCTTGCTGTTCGTAGTGATTTTAGGTATATTAATGTCTGCAGTTTACCAGAGATATATTAAGTATCTAAAATGCCTTTTGCATGAACTACTATTAAAGGCAGTTCATGCAAGAGGCAAACTGTATTAATAGCCATCAGATTTTTATTCCAATCAAGAGCAYACAAACCCTGCTATCTTTACCACGCAGCAGTGTGAGAAAGCTAGAGGTGTGAGGGTTAGATGTGTTGAAGAACAAGACACCAGCATATTCCAACCTAGATCTATCAAGAGCTAGCCTTGTGATCTTTGACCAAGCACTCTGTCATACTAGGCCTTAGTCTTCTTTTCCCAGTCCCCAGAGAGAGGGCCCTTTATGGACCCTCAAAAGGTTCATTTGAAAGCATTTGTTTCTAGAAGTAGTTCTTTGGTCACTGAGCTACAAGGAGGCCTAGGGGTCATGCATTGCTGATGTTTTTATCTTATCTACCACTGTTCAGGGCTGTTGACCTCTCCCATAACCTGTGCCTGATGCACTCTAAAATATCTATGGGTACTTTTTWAAAAAAAATTTAATTTGTTATATATGACAACAGAATGCTTTACAATTCATATTACACATATAGAGCACAATTTTTCAGATCTCTGGTTGTACACTGTGAGTACGTTTCTAAAATAAAACCTATTCTCATTATTCACAGATTCTGTATTTGCAAATTTGCCCACTTGCTAAGATTTATTTGTAACCCCCCAAAATGAACAGTCCCAGACTCTCATGGTCATTCATTAGCTTGTGCAGAGAAGCAATTTGAGCCTTTCAAAGAACATGTTCCCAGCTGAGRTGGAACAAAGCAACCTTCTCATTTTAATTTCAACTCTAATACTGTAAACAAGTGCTCTTTTCATGGTCTATTTAGTTCCCTGTTTAAAACAGCATCCGAGCATAGCACTGTCCTATTGTCTGGGCTCCTAAGCACAGAGGCTGTGACATTATGTGCCCCAGGGAGAAAGCACAGGAGCTACATGGGCTTCATCCAGGCATGACTGAGAATGCTGTTGGCCTGAGCTTAAAATTAAAGTGAATTTAAACAGAAACACACATCAAACAAGTTTATGTATCAATTGGTTATTGACAAAGATATATATTGACAAAAATGCTAAGGTCAGCAGCTTGCAGGAATCCCATCCTGTATTCCTTCTGAGGTCACAAATGCCCACAAATTTCCTAATTTTGTGTTCACGGGAACTTTTATAGAACATAATTCATGTGACTAGTGACAATTTATTGTGTTGCTTTACAAAGGCTATCAAAGGAAAAAAAAACAACTAAACTGAATTATTTTATGGTAGACTGATAGGTCTCTGATATTTCAAGATTCCATTCAGCTTCCAAAGAAGTTTTATATTTTAAGAAAGAAAGTATTTATTGATTTATTGATGAGTAAGTAACAATTCACCTCTAACATATTTTCACCCAGAAAAATCTGAATATTAAACACGTAATAAGTAACAACTTTAAATCAACGTTTTGGAGGAAAAAAAGGTTAAAAATAAATATTTCTTCATTACATATACAATGAGACACACATGCATATACATAATCTCTTAAGAAGCATTGCAAGTGTATCTGCAATGGGACACAGAATTTATCTGAAATATCAATGTCAGGAAACTACATTGAATTTTTAAAAGATGAAAAAAGTCCCCTTGTTTATAAATCATGATAAAAAATAGCTTAAAGGCTATTTTTTTTTCTATAGCAATATTTTCCTGCTAAGATGCTAAGAGCCTAGAAAATAGATAGGTTGAATTCAATTAATGGATTCCAGAATCAGGTGAAAAGTGACACAAGATTACCTTTAAGGTCCTGTCATATCTTGATATTTTTTGATTTACTGTTATTTAATTTTAAGTGTGTGGTGTTTATCTCTCTAAGCATAAAGAAGTTATAGGTTTAACGTAAAACCCTAACCCTAATGACATTTGGGTATAGATAATTCTCTGCTGTGGGGAAGCCCCCTTAGATGACATTAGCACACATTCACCTACCCATTTGTAACCATCAAAAATATCTCCAGACATTGCCAAATGTCCTAGAGGGATGGGGGAGAGGAGTAACATAACCCCCATTTGTACCTTTATTTTATTTATATGCGGTGCTGAGAATCTAACCCAGCTCCTTATACATGGTAGGTAAGTGCTGTGCCACTAAGCTATAATCCCAGCCCCAGAATGTTTCTTTTTCTAATGTGTCAGTAACACATGATGAATATATAACTAGGCATGATGCTTATCTTTCATATTATTATTAAGAGATACCAAAAAGTAAAATTTTCATGTAAAGATAAGCAAAAAGTGCCAAATAAAAAATTTTAAATAGGGAAATAGAAACATGTAGACATGAAGAGTCTACTGAAATTTCTCATACTTTTGTTCTAAATGTGAAACATAACTGAAAATGACCATAGCCCATTAATTCATAGTTACAGGTTATAGAAATATGTGCTATTTTTCCACCTAAGGGAGCRTCTTAAATTGGAACAGCAATCAGGCATGCTAGTCATTTCTGTTGCTGTAACAGATTACCACACACTGGGTAAATTATAAACAATACAAGTTTATTTGGCTCATGGTTCTGGATGCTGAGAAGTTCAAGATCAAGGGACCAGCATCTGGCAAGATCCTTCTTGCTGCATCATAACACGGTGGGGAGCATCCCATGGCCAGGAAAGAAGAAAAATCTGCCCAACTGATCCTTTCATTTGAGGTCAATTTCTGTGATAACAAAACCACTCTCACCATACCACCCTTAATACATTCACAAGGGGCATGCCCTCTTAAACTCGGAACGGTCCCACCTCTTGATATCATTATGATGGCAACTAAATTTCAACATGGGTTTTAGAGGGGGCATTCAAATCATAGCATCAGGTACACTCCATTTTCTCTGAGGAAAACAGAGGATTACCCAGATTCACAAGGAACATTTACTCAAAGTCAAAAAGCTGGTCAATATTCTCTTCCTCAGCCATGGCTCCGTGGCACAGCCTGAATGTCGATATCCTCCATGGTCCTAAAACTCAGGCAAATGAAAGAACAAAGAGAACTCCCTCTGATCTCTAGTTCTTTCGGTGGAATGACTAAGCCACAAACTTTTCCCACAAAAGATTCAAAACATTGCCTAATGTTGCTTCCTTCAACAAGAATCTTTGTAATGTTTATGTTCCCCCAAGATTCACGTCCATGTCCTACCCGCAGTGTGTTAGGAGGCAGGAGTTCTGGGAAGTAATTAGACTTAGATGAGGACACAAGGGAGGGTCCCCATATATGAAAGGACCTTGTGAAGACACCGCAATAAGGTGGGCCATCTATTAGCCAGGAAGAGAGCCTTCGCCAGAATTCGACTCTGTTGGTACCTGATTGATCCGACTCTCACCCTTTAGAATTGTGAGAAATAAGTGCGTGTGGTTCAAGCCCTCCAGTCTGTGACATTTTGTTACGGCCGCCTGAACAGACTAATCCTTACAACCAAATGGACTAAACAGTTTCAAGTGCAGAGAAGTAAGACGTCAWAGTGCAGGTTCCCATGGCAACCACCTCTTGTCAGTTCTCATCAGTTCCAAGGTTACGGTATCTGGGCTGGCATCCCTAATTGTGCGTAGTAATGGAGTTGAACCAACCAAATCCTCATGTATTTCAGGAAAGAGAAAACAGTCTTATTCTGTATTTCTTCATGAATAGTAGTAGTCAGTTTTATGTAAGTTCATTTTGCTTTGATAAAGCTTGTCATATTCAAATAGACTAATTTTTAAGTGTTTTGGAGCAAGTGATTGACTCTGAAAAAGATTTCCCATTGCAAAAGAGCATATCACGTGATTCCCTTAAATACAAGGTTTCCTAGCACATTTATAAATGACTGACATATTAGGTATCAGGAATATATTTCAAGCACCTTTTTTCTTTTTTTGGTATATGTGTTTTCTGGGCATATTTGTTGGAAAAATATGAGGAATTCATTCCTTATACTCATAAACAATTTCTGGTATTAAGGAACAGAATAGCATCTGGGACCAGGTGGAACCTGTCTTCTCCAGGAACTTGAGTACCAGTGAATGGCAGTTGATCTTGATAACATTTGGTTTTATTAGTCTTAGAATTATGTTAATAAAGGGCACTATTGTAGCCTGAAAAAGCCAATATGATGCCCCCAAATCTACTTCATTTTGGAGGAGCCTGGCTTCATTTCAATAGAACAAAGTACCATTTTCAATGAGCAAGATTTCTCTAATATTTCCTTATTCATCAGTGAAAGAAATGGGAATTAATTACCAAAAATAATAGAATAACAGCTTAAAGGTTTAAATAGTTATAACAACATATGTACCATAAATGTATTTGAGGTTAGCCAAATAACTCAAGCAGCTGAAATATTTAAAAAAAATTAGATAAACTGGATTACATAGACCACTCTATATACAGAAAAAATGTTGAGTCATGAGAGTAGCTTCAACCATGTAAGTTATTCTCATGGCAAAATATGAACATGTGACCCTGCTGCCTTACCTCCTATGGAGATGATGGCATCGAAGCCCTGATCCCTAAAGGGGAGATTAAGGTTGTCACATACCATGACTTCACATCCTCTACTCCGGGCAATCTCTACCAATGGTCCACAGTAGTCACAGCCCAGGGTATGTACCTGGCTGTTTACTTTAAGATACTTTCCAGTTCCACAGCCTATAAAAGAAAAACCTGTGTTATATGCAATCTTTAATAGAGAGTGAGGAAAATAATTTTTCTCACATCAATATGAAGTTTACATCACCAAGGTAGAATATGAGTGTGAAGGTATTCACGGAGGCAAAGGAAGAGGCTTCAGAGAGCACTCACATACTTTCATATAAAAGAGAAAAGAGAAATGGAATGGAAAAAAATATTTCTTGAATAGTCACTGAGTTAATGCCCTTAGGACTGACTGAGCATACTTGCACAACTAGACATGTTAGCTAGCCCATTGCTGGGAATGACAGTTTCAGCAACCTGAACGAGGGACAGACAGTGTACAGTCTCTATCTTAACATGTATTCCCACTGTGCATGTGTGTATATTATAGCATTTGTTCTTCTGATGCTTCTCCAAAGATTCTTATCATTTGCCCACTAGGTTCAACTACTGCCAGCAACTTTCAGTAGCTATAAATAAAAGAAGCTACACARTAAAACACACTCTTAAAATTCTTAAATCTGAAAGRGGTGTTGTAGCTTAGTGGTAGAGTGCTTGCCTATGTGCATATGTGAGAAATAAGTGTGTGTTGTTCAAGCCATCCGGTGGCACCACATAAAAATAAATAAATAAATAAAATAAAAGCATTGTGTCTATCCACAACTAAAAAATATTTAAAAAAAGATGGCTCAGGTGGACTTCTTAAAATTTTTTAAAAAATCTAAAATGAATGAAAAAAAGAATTGTTAACATCATTTCATTCAATTATTATATTATTGCCATTACTTATCTATCACTAGTCAAAGACTACTGGTTTGCAGCTTTGKTAATACGTCATGACACTCCTTATTAACTCCTCCTTAATAGGTGCTTTTCAAACTTCTAAAAAAATAAAAACCAATTTAAAGTCCTCTGATGCCAGATGAGATAGTGGAGAGCATATGGATAAATATAACATTTGCAACATTATTATCTCAATGACAATGACTGAGGTCTTAGAAACTTTAGATCTCACAGCCCCTGTTCCTAATGCTTATGAGAAAAAGCCCCATTGTTTGAAGGTAATCATGGGGAAAATATATTTCACAATGTATTTTAAAATTGAAATCCTGTATATTTCAAAGATGATAGTTATACTTAAAAAAATCTTGCAAATTCATTTGCTTATTTATTGGCTTGAAAGATACATTTGGAAAAATGAAAGAGAAAATCACTTTAAAGATATTAATAAAAATAGGTTAATAAACCATTACTGCTGAAAGGAACTATTCAGAAAACATTTAGTAAAAAAGAAGAAACTGAGGTATTTTCAAATTTAAACAGTGTCTGATACCTTTCCAATGTCCTGGCATCCTTGATTTATCCCATATTCATTTCTAATGACATTAGATTTATCCCATATTCATTTCTAATGACATTCACTTTAAAAGGTAGTAGTGGAACTTCCAAATATGATGCAATTACCCATATTCTAAGTGCATACACTGAGATGCTAGTGAGGGGAAGATTCCGTCCTAACAAGGAAATCAAGAATATTGCCAGGCTAAATTGTTCCATTATTTTCAATGTAAATCAGAAGCTGAATACTGCGGCACGCTTTGCTTCAGTCCACAATAATCACGCTCCTTTACAAAATCTCATTAAGTGATAACCTTGCATAGTACTAAAGAGAGATACCAGGAAGTGTCTGCATGCTTACAGTCTCCTGGATTTTGTATTCTGCACCACACTATGGCTAAAGGAGAGAACAGATAATTGCCTCAATTCAACAAAATGTTTTGGTCCAGTATGGGCAAATATTTGCTGATATACTAATACAAACATTCTCTCCAAAGTTTTGAAAAAGAATCACATTTTTAAAATTGGGAGTTCTTGACTAAAATYTTCTCTGAAAGAGAATTCTCTTTTCCTATGACAAAAAAAGGCAAATACTATATGCATTTTATACACAATTTCTTAAGTCCAGGAATGAGGAAATGTTTTATTCTATTAGGCATGGTTTCTGCTGTATGGGATTTAGTCAGTCAAAAATGACTATTGATACTGAGGATAAATACTTTGAGAGTTAAGAGGCAAATGGAATCCTAATTACTGACAAGTTAATTTTTATATACACAAAAATAACATTTTTAAGGGGCTGGGGTTGTGGCTCAGTGGCAGAGCACTTGCCTAGCATGTGTGAGGCACTGGGTTCSATCCTCAGCACCACATATAAATAAATAAAGAATAAAGGTACATCAACAAGTAAAAAAATATTATTTTTTTTAAGATTTTAGGATACTTTTCTTTGGGGTCAAGAAAAAAAAAAAAGGGGGAATTTTGCTCAAAAAAAAAAAAAATCCAGCTCTGGACTTTCTCCTACTTTCTAAATTCATGCAAGTGAAGATTTCAAAGCACACAATGCCCTCCATGTCTGATGCACTTAAAATTGACGGGGGTGGGGGAGTGTTAGGGAAGAAGAGAGGTACTTTGGATTAGACAGAGGGGAGTGAAGGGAGGGGAAGGGATACTGGTAGGAAGGATAGTAGAACAAATTGGATATTATTACCCTATGCACATGTATGATTACACGACCAGTGTAATTCTACATCATGTACAACTAGAAGAATGAGAAATTATACTCCATTTATGTATGATGTGTTTCAGGTCAAGGTATTGCCATAATTGCCCGAGTCACAGTATTGCCTGAAAGTACTGTGATGTTCCTGCTCTTTGAAGTTGTTTTTAGTTAGGCCACTTCTCCTGCTCATTTACTCCCTGATTCTGAGATTTAGCTTCTCTCTGGGAGTGCCTGCCACACACCTCAGCCAATCAGCTTGGCTAGGGAACGGGGTGATGCGGTGAATAACATTTCAGTTAACTAAAAGCTTCCCACTAAACTTGTGAAACTGCCTAGACATTTCCAGTCTGGGAACTGGAACCTGGTTACTGCTGAATTTTTTTTTTACTACCATGTTTGACTAGTTTTAACTCATTATAATTAATTATAAATTGCTAAAGTAATAACCAGTCAAATTAAACAGCATAACAGTCGGTTTTGGCAACATAAAAAACCTGGAAATCAACTTTCCTTATGAAGATAGTCATATTATCAGGTTGTCTTTTCTTCTGCTCATCCCTTTGGACTCCTTTCTTTCATTTTCTTCTATTTCTTCCTTGACTTTATTTTATAATATATCCTTCCTTTTGTCATCAAAACATTACTGCTTATTGACGAGTTTAAAAGTGTGAATTATACAAAATTCAAAACATATGTACAAACGGGCAGAGAAATATTTGTTACCGATCCAATTGTTGGTTCCCATTGAAGTGCTCAAAGAATATTATTTGCTCATAATTTGTAGCAGTAAAGTATATAAAATAACATATTGTTTGTTAATTTGTATATAAAATAACATATTGTTTGTTAACTTGGCACTATTAGTATAAAATGCTATGTAGTTTTAAATCTTACGCAACTCTACAAATGCCCAACCAAACACATTCCTAGAGGCACAAAGATACTTATATTTACATAACCTGTCCCAAGGTACATAAGAAGCTAAGAGCATGGTTACCTCGGGCATGGGTTTATTTGGTACCAGGGACTGGGATGAAGATGTTTTGCACCCTTATGTGTCTTTGTTGCTGAACCTTGTCAATGGATTGCCTATCAAAACATCTTTAAGCAGTTTGTAAACAGCAACTTAAAAAAAAMCCCATTTGTTCATATCCTTTTCCCATTTTCTTTTGGTTGTCATTTTGTGTGTGTGTGTGTGTGTGGGGGGGAGATACCAGGGATTGAACTCAGGAGCACTAGGCCACTGAGTCACAACACCAGCCCTATTTTGTATTTTATTTAGAGACAGGGTCTCACTGAGTTGCTTAGTGCCTCGCTGTTGCTGAGGCTGGCTTTGAACTGGAAATCCTCCTGCCTCAGCCTCCTAAACCGCTGGGATTAAAGATGTGTGCCACTTTGCCCAGCTTGGTTGTCATTTTTCTTCCCCTTTTAAAAATTATTATTTTTTTTTGTCTAACTGAAACTCTGCACCCTTTAACCAAAAACTTCCCATTTCCCTCCCATCCCTCCCCAGCCCTGCCCCAGCCCTTAGTAACCACTATTCTATTCTCTGCTTTGCAAGTTCATCTTTTTAAAGTTGTTGCAGTATTTTCCTTCTATGCCCTGCTTATTTCACTGAACATAACATCCTCCAGGTTAACCCTACTATAACAAATGATAGGATGTTGGGCCTTTTTTAATATTGACTTAAAAATGTCCTGGAGATTAAGAAAATAATGTATTTTTTTTCTATCAGATGTGTTGCAGATACTTCAGGGTTTTTTTGTCTTTTGACTTCATTTATATATTTATCTAGATTTTTGTCTTAACAGTATTTTTTAGTTTCCATGGGAGTGAAAGTTATCAATACAGTTGATCTTTGTTCCTAAAAGATTCATCTTTGCTTACTCTTTTGTATGTTAAAATTTACTTGTTACCCTAAAGTCTGAGCACTTGCGTGGTCGCTCTCAGACATGTGCATTGACACAGCAGCCCAAACTTTGACCTGCCCAAGATCCTTGTATCGGGCCTTCCTGTTTCAGCTCTCCTGCTGTTGCCAGGGGAGATCTAAGTGGAGCTGCATTGATCCCAGGCACTTAGAATGGCGCTGGGAGAACTTGTTAAGCCAGGTTTCAGACACAACTGCAGCTGATCTTTGAACGGAGCTGTCTACACCACCCCAGGACAAACTGTTCTTGTTAACTGGGCCAAAATGCAATTTTCTGGAATGAAATTCACCAGTCTTTGCAACAGTTTGTGAGACTCCTCTTCCCCCTTAAAACTGTCCAGAGACTGAGAATGTGCCTATTTCCTTTCTTATAATCATAATTCCTGACAAAGAAGTGGTGTAATTAGCCACCTGCCTTGCTATTTATGCTATAAAAGCAGGCATCTTCTTGCAAAACCTAAGAGCACAGTTTCATGGCTACTTAAATTCAGTGTCTCCTGGATTCCAATCCTAATAAGTCCCAAAATACATGTAATTATCCTTTGTTCTTGACTAGATTGATTTTTATCTCAGTCAACACTATAAATAAGTGTTCTTTCCATAATCTATCGAKTGCCATGTTTTTTTGCATTTTTGTGATTATTTTGTTGGTGATCTTTCTTTTCAAAAGGCCCCCCAATAGTCTAGTCTTTCAGAACAGAAGAAGGCTGTAAGGTCTCTTAGGAACAAAATATGGAAATGATAAGCTTTGTTCAAGTATGAGTTGTAATGTGCTATTGTGAGTTCAGTGTTAATGAATCAACAATAGATAGTAAGTAAGATGCCTTTAAACAGGAACTCAAGGTTATGCATTGATACACTGACAAAAATGTTGGGACCAAAGCCTTACAGGAACCCTTCCTATAATTCTTCTCAGAACAATGTTTCAGTATTCACTAATTCTGTATTTATGAGAACTTCGTAAAACATGAATACCACGAATAACGACAATTCTATTTTATAATTTTAGGTGTGTGTGCATAGGTGTTATATGCAGAGAGGCCATTTGCTTTGGAAAATATTTTTAAATAAACTAATCATCATCTAGTCCTTCAATGATTTCATTTTCTTATATCTTTGCTTTATGTGGAACTTATTTTGGTGAAAGCTATAAGAAAGTAACTCTCTTACTATATGTACAATTGTGCCAAAGCCATTTATTGAATACCCACTCCCCCATTAATTTTAAGGTCTTGGTACTTTGCTTAGATTGTGGGTAGTAGGAGTTTCAGAATCACTGCATCTTCTGAAATCTTTTTCCCCCTTATGAGGTGCTGGGGACTGAAGCCAAGGTTCCATGCATGCAGAGCACATACTCCACACTGAATTCCATCCCCAACCTCTGAAATCAGATTTATTTTTAAAAATCGACATTACAGTGGTATTTTTCAAAGACTCCTAATTTCAATGTGACATGCTCCTCTTCCAAAAATTCCACACTGTTTATAACCATATAACAAGCCAGGAACTGTGGACATGTATGTGTTTCTCTTACCCTTACTGAGTGGGTCAACTAGACTGAGATTGTAACTGCAGACTTAACGATTCTTACGGGCACAATCAAGGGTGTAATTGCTAGAAAGCAGTTTTAGACAGGCATGCCTCAATGGGAAACCAACCCCATGTTAATTTTAGTCTTAGATCTACTGAGCTGTGGTTTATCACTTCTTGATTCAGAAAGATACAGCGCTAAAGTCTTCCAGACAAATCAGTGATTATGAAAATGTTATCCATTTAAAGCTATGCTCTAATAACAAAATAACTACACAATACAAGAGAAGAGGAACCATGAGATTAATAAAAGGATGTAAGACCTCTTCCATAGCCCCACGATTCTGGCTCTTTTACCCAAGGTGAGTCTCCACTGTAAAACACATTTTATAAATATGACCATCACTACATATGAAATTATCATTGTCACTATCGTTTCTATCTTATTCATTCAATTGATTAGGTCAGCTTTGGTGGAGAATGTGCAAAGATGGACCCTATCTAAATGTAGGTTTGAAGCTGTGCTCTATCTGCTTTGTGACTTGATGGTATGCATTTCTGCTATAAAAAGAGAATATTCTAGGAACGGGCAGGCCAAGGGCACCATTTCAGGGTTCTTGTTACAATAAAAATGAAAAATGAATCTGAAAAGAACAGGCGTGATGGAATATACGTCATGCTAGGGGGCACAAGCCTGGATTACCGATGTCGGCGACGAGGCTGCCTGGCTTCTGCTCCTGGAGGAACTGGCGAACTCGGGGCCAGGCTTTGCTCTGCAGGTCACTGAAGAAGGGGGCCGTGTTCTCGTAGACATCGTGCACGTGCTGCTTCTCCAGCAGGGCAGCTTCCTGATCCATCCTGGGGAAAGCAGGACCCACCCAAAGCAAGCAGGTCAGAGAACGCACCAGAGGTGCAGACTTCCTGAACTCGGGACCTACAACTGCAAAAGTGGTAGGGGTTCTTAGGCTTTCTCGGTGCTGCAGGGAAACTTTCATGTAACTGCACTGTTGACAAAAGATTAGCAAAGTATGCATCTGCTAATCTTCAGAAAAGAATGGTTGGGGAATGAGCTAATCCTTGTGAGTTCCTGTGCAAGATGAATTCTTAAATTTTGGAAGCACAGGCACATTCTTACCAAATGGTTCACTTCCGATAAGATCATTCTATCTGAGGCTAAATAGATTTTAACGTTTTATAACAAGTAGTTCTTCACTCCAATCAAGAAGCCCTAGGAATTTTACCTTTTTAATGTCTTTGGATTTCAGCCATTTTCCCACATCCGTTACTGCTTCTGTTTTAAATAAGGTGCTGATTTCTTGCCTGAATTACTTCAACAGTCTGCAAATGCATTTTCTAACTCTTCAATGCTTTTCCCTCAATTATGCCTTAACTATTTTTTTCTGAAATATAGATCTAATTGAGTTGCTTACAATGCTACCACTTCTCCAAAGGCCTTTTATAGTTGTCCAGTTGAGTACAGTTGGTGTAGGAGGTCATGCAGAGCCTTTCTGATCTGTCCTCAACTTACTTCTTAGGATTCATTTCTCACATCTTCCCCCAGTATCAAAGAGCCTGGAACACCCAATGATCCATGGTTTCTCATAAGTGATACATTCCCTGACATCCAGGGACCTGAATAGATACTGTACTTTATGCGGCTGACTTCTATTCATTCTTGGCATAAGCATCACTTCCTTCAGGAAGGCTTCCCTGACCTTTCTTGTGAGAGGAGGTCAATTAGAAAGGAATGAGAATGGTACAAGGGCAGGTCCTGGAGGTCCCAGCTGCTTAGCACTTAATCCTTTATTCTAGTGTGACATAGGAGTGAGGGGCAGCCCAGGGAAAAGGCCAAGGATTTGGTGGCTTTTACCAATCAGCATTATTTTCAATAATTAAAAAAACCCATTTGTCCCTACTTGTGCCTAACAGCTAGCTCAGCACCTTCCCTTGGACARTTGCCTCTCTTGTAAATCTATATGTGTCATGAAGTTCTGTAATAGTTGTATTTAGATATGTATCTCTACCATTAGCTGGAAGGCCCTAAAGGGCAGGGACTTGTCTTATATAATGCTGAATCTTTAGCACTTAGGCAGAGCAGGCCCCCAACAAATGTCACACAGGAGAGTGAGGCAAAGGCGGGGACCCTCCACTGCCAAGAGTGCTTGTTCAGTGTGACAAAAGGAAAGTATTGTCCCTGGATAGCTTCTGTCCTCTCTTCCCTACCTCCAGCCTGTGAAGTGGAAGGCATTTGGGTAAAATGGCATCTACCAGGTCATGTCACTGTAAAGTACCTTTTATAAATTTAACAAATATCTGGTGGAGAGATACTTTGCGACTCCCACACATTCTGTTTTTCATATGTTCATCTCCCGTTTAAGCATCCACTGTTGATTCTTGCACAAAACAATCATTCCCACCAGTATCACCAAATTCCCATGTACCTAATTCCATCATTCCTTCTACTGCAAGAGAGAGAGAGAGAGATTGATTGATTGATTTTGGGGGGATTTACTCTTTAGAAGCAATAGGCTGTCTTTTATCTTGGTGGGCCTGCCCACAGTCCCTTCAAAACGCCCTACCAAACTGCTAACCATATAAATCTAATCTGTGAGGCCTGTCAAAACTTCCACGCAAATTGAAAGATTTTTATGTGGCACCTTCAAATGGAATTTACAAAGTAAATATATGGCTGGCTTTAATTGCTCACATAGGAGAAATATCCAAACACTGCATGCTTTTCTTTCTTTTTTTTTTTTTCAAATTTTTTAATATTTATTTTTTAGTTATTGGTGGACACAACATCTTTGTTGGTATGTGGTGCTGAGGATCGAACCCGGGCCGCACGCATGCCAGGCGAGCGCGCTACCGCTTGAGCCACATCCCCAGCCCCTGCATGCTTTTCTTTTAAATCAAAAATCTCAATAGATTTAAGTCTATTTAAATTCCCCCCTCAAGAAATCAACCAGATGGTATAATTTGGAGAACCCTGGAACAAATACATTYAATTTTATTGTACTTGCAAATGTTAAGTGACAACTGACATAAACTTGATTCCTTCCAATTTGCATTTAAGAAATAGTTCCAATTTAAGCTCAGAATGTGTAGTATCAGAACAGCACTACTTGGAGACATTTCTCTTAATTCTCCCCCAAGTTGCCTGGCCTTGACTATAAGTAACCTTGAGACTGCTATTCTTAAATGAGTTGGCAATACGAATCCATTTCATTTTTATTATATTTTATAGTTAAGTTTAAATGCTGCAGAATAAATTGCTGACCATGAATATTGATTTATATAGTCGGGGCTATCCAAAATGCTATTTCTAAAACTCTCTGGATTTAAATTTCCTATAATATATTTTTTTTGGTAGATGGACACAATACCTTTATTTATTTAATTATTTATTTAATGTGTTGCTGAGGATCAAATCCAGTGCCTCACACATGCTAGGTGAGTGCTCTACCACTGAGCCCAAGCCCCAGCCCCTCCTATAAAATTTTCTCTGTGAATGTTATATATACTATAAAAGCAAATTCCTTGTGAATTTGATAGCATGAGTAAGATAATAGTAAAATAGTAGTAAAATAAAAATGACAGGTACTGTGACACATGCCTGTAATCCCAGTGACTGAAGAGGTTAAGATAGGAGGATTGAAAGTTATAGGCCAGTCTCAGCAACTTAGTGAGACCCTAAGCAATTTAGCAAGGTCCTGTCTCAAAATAAAACATAAAATGATAGGGGATGTAGCTCAGTGGTAAAGCATCCCTGGGTTCTATCCCTAGTACCAAAATAAATAGATAAATAATAAAAAGAAAAGGAAAAAAAAAAAAAGAGCACAGGATTCCAGTTGAAGCAAGAATATGGAATCAGTTCAGTCAAGTTTCCCAACCTGTGTACTACCAAATTCCAGAGCAATAAAATGTTCCAGATGAAGGGGTCAAGAGTCAAAGCCCCAGATTTTTGCCCCTTCTTTGATATCCAAAATGTACACTACCATACTATAGGTTTGAGAAACCTGCTAAAGTGTCCCAATTGATTTTTTTTTTCAAATTTGGTTTTCTCAAAATCATTGTGCCTATAATGCTTTTTTCTTTCTTTAAATATCTCTTGTCTTCTTATAGAACTATATTCTGCAGGTGACATTTTGGGAAATATTACTTTAATGTTTTCCAATTTAAGAGTATCCCCAGAACAAAGGGAACTATATTCCCTGGGTCTCCTTCAACATTCATGTAATTTTAAGTGAAGAGTCAGAAGGAAGCCTAACAGTTGCTCACCACCGTGTATCTGAGAGAAGCTGCTTCTGGAGCACATGCTAGATGCTAGCTATGCTGGCTGGACCCACACTGAAAACTGGATCCTCAGGGAGACAGTTCATGGGTGAGTCTGGTCCAGCCTTAAGGAGCTGAACTAAGGACCTGCATAGTCAGATGCCTGCAGGTGGTTGGATGTGGTCACTTGGAGCCTGTATTTGGAAATCTATTTTAAACCATGCACATGTAGATGAATCAGGAGAAAACTGATCTGAAAAATAAATGTAGCTATAGTGAGAAAAGCAGGACACAGTCTTTTTATAAAGATTGTGGAGAGGAGAAAGGGAAACTGAGAGGGATAACTGATATCTGATCTTCTTGTTTATTTTTTATGTTTTTTGGTACCAGGGGTTGAACCCAGGGGCACTCAACCACTAGGCCACATCCCCAACCTTTTTTTTTTTTTTGTACTTTATTTAGAGACAGGGTGTCACTGAGTTGCTTAGGCCCTCACTAAGTTGCTGAGGCTGGCTTTGAACTTGTGACACTCCCCCCACCCCCAGCCTCTAGATCAGCTGGGTTACAGGCATGCTCCACTGTGCCTGGCTTATCTGATCTTAGTGTTTTAGTTCCTGTGTGGGGTCTAGGCAGCAGCTCAGGGTAACTCAATTCCAAGAAACCTGTTGATTTTATAGGACTGGGCTTGCTTTTGATGTACTTCACTCYCTAACTTTGACTCTCCATCACATCTCATTTTAGCTGTAAAATATTCTTCACTTCAGCTTATTTCTGTTTCTTATAACTATATCTTTCCTATGCAGGTACACTGTTTTTAATTAAAGAACATTTCAAAACATTGAAAAGTAAAATATGATTTTGCACTTCAAATAATTAGTGTTCTGGATGCTGACATGTATTGTTACAATATCTTACCTTCATTGCTACTATTCAAGCAGTCTTGTAAAGCTTACAATGGAACCTTGAAACAAACAAACAAACAAAAAAATAGAATGCTAACAGTCAAAAGAAATCGTAAACATTAGAACAAAACCAATAAGTAAGGGTTGGAGATGTGACTCAGTGTTGGAGCACTTGCCTGGCATGCACAAGGCCCTGGATTTAATCCCCAACACTAGAAAACAAATAGCAACAACAAAACACCATAAGCAAAACTGAGAACAGAAAGTAGTAACTAATTTTGCCAGGAAGCTGATGGAAGCACACAAGAACCCCCTGAGTATTAAATCAACTCTGCTGTCCCTCCCCTTCCCTGACAAACTCTGCTTGCCCTCCCTAGGTCTCGGACTGGTATTCAGGAACACGCTGCTTTTAGCTACTTCTTAATACTTCCTATACTTGTTCATGACCTATCAATCATTTGCAAATCTTTCTTATTCTGACTCTAAAAAAAGCCCAGTCTGTGCTTTCCCTTCCTGTTTGCTTCTATTGCAGGCATCCTGCTGACGCTTCAGAGTTCAAGTTCTTTTTGTTTTCTTAATCTCTGAAGTAATTTAAAAGATTTTTTTCCCCTAATTATCAGAGAAAGCCTAAATGTACTAGATTCTGATTAGTGTCTGCCAGAGCTTGAGATAGAGGGTCGGAACTGACTGCAAAGGGGAATGAGGATATTTTTCAGGGTGACAGAAATAGTCCATGTTTTGATTGTAGTGTTGGTTATGCAACTTTTATTGTTGTGGTTTTCTTGCAGTGCTGAGGCTGGAACTCAGGGCCTGTGCATGCTAGGCAACCTTGCTACCACTGAGCTATACCTCCAGGCTTGGTTTCGTTAATTTTTGGTATAACCTATGTTACAACATAGGGAAAAGTAAACTTTAAAAGTATGAATTTTGACTGGAAGTCAATTACACAKATGTTAACAAACCACCAAACATCTGAGATTTTATCCTGCAAGTTTCATGGATGCTGGAAGAAGGCACAAGACTCCAAGGTCATGGACAAAGGATGTTATTTTTCAAAGCACAGCACACAGCATGAGCTGAGGTTTGCAATGTTTCCCCTTGGCCTCAAGTCTCATGCAGATAGATGATGCCGAGGCAGAAAATCTACAACCAGTGAGTTTGCATTACAGATGAGGAATCTCCAACTTCAGGGAAGCTCAATCTGACAAGGGGGCTCCTAGTCAACCTACATTACTCTTGCCCTGAAGAGAGACATTTTATTATCAGAGAAAAAAAAAATGGATAAATCTGCTCTCTGCCTAAAGGAGACATGTTGGGTTAAACATTAGTCAGTGCCTTAGGAAAGCTTGCAGTGAGATAAGAAAGACTCTAAAGAATGTGATAACAAAGGAAATGGAGGAGGGAGGACTTCCCTTGTCTCTAATCCTTAGGTGAGGATCAAAGCAGAGCAACCTTGGTTGTAAAGTAAAAGAATGTTCTCATTGAGAAAAACATCTGAAGGAATCCACCTGTGCAGTTGGCATGCAACCTATCATATATATTCTTCCTGCTTGTGGGTGTGATGTRGCCCTCCATTGTATCCTAATCTGCTGCCACCAAGAAGCAGGAGAGTAATAAAATGTCCAAACCCTCTTCATTGAATCTTCCAAGTTCTTTTTGAGGATCAGTGAATAGTACATTGGGGCATTTGCAGGCCTGTGGCTGAATTTCAAGCCCATTAGCTATCCAACCATCCTTGAAAAGATAGTCTAGAACAAAAGTTGATACACACATGCAGAAATGAGAGCAAAATGTGGAGAATTATCTCCCAACAATAAACCTGCTGTGTGTGTGTGTGTGTGTGTGTGTGTGTGTTTTGGGAGGTTGGGAACAAGAAGAGAGAGAAGAGGGGAAGACAGACAGACAAAGGGAGTGAAGGATAAGAAAGGTTAAGCATGTAAAGATAAGTGAACTAGTTTCATTGCCCAAAGGTTAAAACATACTTGGGGAAAGAAGGCTCCTGTAGCTGACGCCGCAAGAGAAGGGAAGATCATGTGAAAGGTAGGGATTAGTCATATAAAGTACAGCCCTGAAAATCAAAACTAATTGGGATTTTATTCGAAGTGAAATGGCAGGAAGCTTTATGTTGCATGAATGGATTTACAATTTTAGAAGACCCCTAGAGGTTTATCCAACTCAGTAAACTAGAATAGCTGTTGTTTTTTATTTGTCCAATTCTGTTCATCATCAACCTTCTTCTGATCATTTGTATCTTGCCCTCCCTGGATGAGCATATGACCCAGGCCTGGCCATTCTTGGTATCCCATATCCTGGGCCACAGGCCTTGGTCAGAAGTGGGCTGGTGATGAAAGGCGAGCCTAGCACTGTGGCTGTCTAAGATATCTCAGTAWGGGGCTAATAAGAAATGGTGCTGCCTTTGGCATCACTGAACTGAAGGATGTAAAGATTAAGGTGTTGGCAGCATGTTTTGTACTGTACAGAAAAGACCTGTCTTTAGGTAGAGAGGGTGAAGTCAGGTAAAACAATCTGAGAGGAAAGATAAATGAGAAGAACGAGTCATGGCAGCATGGATTTCTTGTTCAAGTCTCTGAGGTTTGGCTTCTGAGGATTACACCTTACCTTTTTCAACACAAAGAGTCCATAATTTCCGCTATGCTTAATATTGTAGAATTTCTGACCTTACCATCAGAAGAGTCCACCCTAATTCAGCAGACTTTTTACACCAAGTATTTGGGGTTTTGTTTTACTTGCAGTCTTTACTTCTTGGAGGATGGAAGAGCGGGAAGAAAGGAACAGGAAGTTGACAGGAGGGGTAAATGGTTTAATATATTTCCCAATGGATGCAGAGTCAGAAGGACATGAACAATTCCTGCTTCTAGCATCAGGATCCCATTGGGAAGTCCCAGTGTTCRGATTTCCTTTTTTGGATATGTGATTAGGATAACATTCACCCACTTGAATTCAGGCAAAGCCATGGGACTTGCTGTGGGTATTAAACATGATTAGCTGCTTGGCAGCAGCTGCACAGGCCAGTGTGTGGCTTGCTAAATTCTCTTTCCCTGCTCTCTGCAAGGAAAGTTTTCTTGTCATGGAAGGTTAGGTCTCCAGAGGCATTTTAGGCTTTTCAAAAAAAAAAAGAAGAAGAAGAAGAAGAAACAAAGAAAGGAATGAATAGCTTAGCTCATTGTAAGAAATGCTAACTATCTAAATAATGAAAATGTCCTATTAGAAAGTAACTTGCYATGAGCTGGGGTTGTAGCTCAGTGGTAGAGTGCTCTTTTCACACTTGGGAGGCACTGGGTTCGATCCTCAGCACCACATAAACATAAAATAAAGATATTGTGTCCATCTACAACTCAAAAAAAATTTAAAAAGGTAACTTGCTACTAATTTTTTCTTGATCAATCTTTCCTATTTCATGTAGATGTATTATTAAAAAATTAGAAAACTGGATACAGTTTCATATCGTATTTTAAAAATTTAATTTAATGTTGTGAACAAAGTAGTAATTTTTACCTATGGTATTCTCCAATCTTGGAAGATTTAATGCCTAAATCCTAGAAGATTTAATGCCTGAATTCTATAGGACTTGAAATGTTTTGCAAAGTTATCGTATACTATTGAAGACTTGGGTACTTCTATCAGAGAAAATTAGGTACTTTTACTGGATTCTTAATTTTAAAAGAAGAAACATTTCCTGGTATGTTTATTTAGCCCCCAGTATCTAGCACTAGACTTATAGGTATTGTGGAGAAAAGAGATACACCCCTTAGTTCTTAGAGCTCTTTGATTGAAATCTAGGAACACAATTAATATAARAGCTGATTAATAAAAGAAAGCATAAAAGGGACTGGGGTTGTTTGCTCAGTGGTTACAGCGCTTACCTAGCATGTATGAGGCCCCGGATTTGGATCCTCAGCACCACATATGAATAAACAAATAAAATTAAAAAAAAATCCATTGGCAACTAAAAGATATTAAAAAAAAGAAAGCATAAAAGTTTTATTAATTTTGCATGTACGTGGGGATCTTCAGGAGCTAGTGAAGTCTGAAGAAATGACTAAARCATGGCACTTTTAATGCTTTTTAGACAAAAAGTAGTAAGTTTGGAAAGAATGAAAGGCCAGATGGATCTGGGTAAGGGYAGCTACATGGTGGGCAGGGACATAAAAGCAAGTGCAAGACGAGGGCAACTTTTGCTTCTTCAGGTTCACTGCAGCCCCAGTTATGWGTCTATGGCGATCGGGGTGAATTCTCAACCTTGTATGTGAAGGACATCCRTCCCACAAGAATCTTCATGGCTTGCTGCCCGGAGTAATATACAGGTCAAATGGCCCATTCTGAAGTTATAGTTCCTCAGGTGATTTCGCTTGACACAATCAATATATCAATCCGACACATTTTGAAATGACATGTCCTTTGCTTCTCAGACTACATATGTTTAATGAGTAGATGAAGAATGAAACTCCAGCCAAGTGAGCAATATCTCTGTTTTTATTTTTAAATTTAATTTTTATTTTTTAAATTTATTTTTCAATACTTTTATTTAGGTATAATTGACACATAACAACCTGCGCATATTTAAAGTGTATAGTTTGATAAGTTCTGACATATGTATACACCCAGGAAGTCAGCAAGGCATGATGATGAATCCATCACCCTGAAGTTTCCTTATGTCCCTCTGTAAGACATCCCTCCCATCAGTCCCCACCTTGAATGATCTTCCTGAATGCTATGTTTCTGGAATGGAAAGAGTGACAGAAAGGGTGAACACTGAGGTGTCTATCCACCGGTCATGATTGCCAAGGCAACTTTAAATATGTGGTATGTCCACAAATAAAACAAAATGAAAAAGATTTTTTTTCCAAGTGTATAACTTCCTAATGATCACTGCAAAGTGCACACATGCACACATAAATCAAGAGTAAAAATATTGCTGGGCACAGTGGCACACACCTATAATCCCAGAGGCTCGGGAGGTTGAGACCAGAGGATCACGAGTTCAAAGCCAACCTTAGCAAAAGAGAGGCACTAAGCAACTCAGTGAGATCCTGTCTTTAAATAAAAATACAAAATAGGGCTGGGTATGTGGCTCAGTGATTGAGTGGCCCTGAGTTCAATCCCCAGTACCCATCCACCTCAGTGTTGCCAAATATTTTCAGCAACAGGGAAAAGGTTTTCCTCATATGTCATCAAAGAGATGAGACACTGCACTTGACCTACACAGATAGGGATCTAGGTTTGAGAAGGCTTTGTTTTGTCCCCAAGAGTGGTTCCTGTCCCTAGGGGCGATAAATCATTTGTGWCATGCTTGGCTTCTACCTACAATTTGTAATCCCCACCCCATGGATCCAAAGAAGAAGATTAGAACTCTATTTCAGGCCAGWGCTGGATTATTTTTCCTGCAATAYCCTTTTACTAATACTCCCTCCTGTTGAAAAACCCTTCAAGGGTCCTCTGTTGCCATGAAAACCCTCCACAGCTTGGGGCCAGCCTACCTGTCCTGTCTCAGATACTGTAATTGCCACAACTGCAATCTCAGCTCCACCCAAAGAAATCTGCTAGGGTTTGKGTCTGTCCCCCAGAGTTGCACAAGCTGGAAGTTTGGTCCCAGTATGGTGATGTTAAGGTGGTAGAAGCTTTAAGAGGTAGGATCTTTAAGATCCTAGTGCAGGGTAATGAAGTAATGAGGGCATCCTCCCTCGAAGGCATTAATGTTGTTCTTGTGGAGTGGTCAGTTCTTACAAGAGCGAGTTGCCAGGCTCCTAAATTCCTCTGACTTCCTGTGTCACCGTGTCTTCACTCTACCTCTTTTGCACACTCTTGCCACACTCCATTCAGCATGTTGTGATGTGGCCCGGCAGGCCCCCACCAGAGGCTGAAATAATGCAGCCACTCAATCTGGGATTTTCAACTTCCCAAATTACAAGCTAAATAAACTTGTTTTCCTACACATTACCCAGCCTCAGATGTTTTACACAGGAACAGAAAATGGCTAACACATCTACTCACTTTTTCCTGAGTGGGTYTTGCATCCTGTCCCTTATACTATCCCTTATTCATGTCTTTGGTGAATCCAGCAAACTTTCTCTATCATCTATAACTTTATCATCTGAAATGCTCTCCTAAACACATTCCCCTTCAAAATCTTACCTGGTTTTCAAATTTTAGCACAGCTTCTTCTTGCTCCATAAAGGCTTTGTGGATAACTATAGATAAAAATGGTCTCTCCTATATTTCTACATATTGAAAATTTATCATCTCTACCTCTTTTAGGTCATTTCTCCTGATACCATTTTAAGCTCCCAACTCTGTGTTCGAAACTGTATTATAAGTTCTTGGAGGGTGGATATGACATTTGATCCATATGTGTGTGATCACATGTATATACATGGTCACACACATACACATTTACACACACATATATATACATACATGTGATATGTATGATGTATATATGGATAACACATATATGGGATAAATATAATTCAAGCTATATATACATGGATCCCATGTATGGATCATATATATATGTGTGTGAACAATTAATTATATAGCAAATGAATCAATGGGCTGTTTCTTTGACTTCCTCTGCAAAACAATGATACTTTACTCCAGCAAGTTGTTCTTCAAGTCTTTGGTCATAAATTATAAATACACTACTATGGGCCCAGCAGCACTCATAGGAAAGCAGAGCTGATACTGAGCTTACCTGGATTTGTTTTGTGTTTTAAGATTCCCTGCCCTAGCAGTGATTTGTTTTATAGACATACCTTAGGTATATAATTGCCACATTTTAATAACTAAAGCCAACTATAAGTATTATAAATTCTTCCTCTATTTTAAATGCCATAGAAGACAAGTATTAGAGAAAGAGAAAGAGCAAGAATTTCTGCATTAAATTTCAAAGATACACTCAAATCCTAATTCCAAATACAAGTTGGTCAAGACAGTTAAAACCTTTATATTATTAAAAAGACTTAAATGAAATATATGTAGCTTTTATGCTTTTTAATTCATGGGTACTTCAAACTTAACATCTCTATATTATTTTAAATAACTATCACTAAAGTCTTAGAAAAGCACCAAAAATAAATAAATATGTTTGTAAGATTTTCCTTACCCCCTGCACGTGCCCCCCCCCCAAAAAAAATATTTTCAAATGTTTTTCTACTTGGTGCACAAACAAACTTCAGCTTACTTTATATCACATTGTTATGCATTTAAAATTATGGGATTTGGGATTCATTAGGTTTATTTAACATGCACATTATCAAAAACACAGTATTTGAATTGCAGTAAGAGCTGACAGCTACTAACCTGAGTCATCTTGTGGTTACAAGGAAATTACTTCTTGACTTTGTAAATCATGGCAGTTTCCTCCTTCGGAGAGTGACAGTTGTTTCTCATGACTCAATGTGTAACGTAAATGAAAAGTAGTAGGAGTGAAATCAAATAGCTCGGTCCTTCACATGATCAGCCACTTGGTAGGAGTCTCTGAAGGGAATATGGGCCCTACAAGGAAAAAACAAATACTGAGGTCATTTTACATAACAGAAATACTGAAGCAGCTATAGCCCAGCCTGGCCTCTTGACCTCTGCATAAATCATCCAGCAATGAAGGGACTAAAGAGAAAAGTTAATGTGCCAGAATTACAAGAGCAGTTTACAAACCAATTCTTCAGCTTTCTATAAAATATACAGTACTTTCTCCCCAAATTAAATTGAATGATTTCATCTTGTTCCTGGAAAAATTACAAGGATGGACAGTAAACTCTGAATCCAGTAACTAAATTAAATATATATCAACTATTTAAAACAATGTTACTACATTATATTATTCTGATACAACAGGACTGCTCCGTWTTTGTTCCTAGTATCAGCCACTTCCATTACTTTGACAAGGAATCCTGGTTCTTCTTCATTTGTTCATACTTATTTTTTTTCTTTTTTATAAGCCTGTCATGAGCCCCATCAAAAGGTTCCTAGCTACTTGAAAAAAATTGTACTTTGCATACCAAAAAACACTTTGTAACATAAAAGCGTTTGGATAGAGCATGAGATCCCAAGAGCAGTCTAGTATGGTAGGAAAACCCCGCCTACCCTACTCCAGGTCCTAACTGCTTATCTGTAAAGGAGATGACTGGACCCAAGGCTGGATCACAGTCACTTCTCCTGGTCTCCATATCTCTAGTGTGWACACCACTGCCACCACCAGCTGTGCCTCTTACTACACAGGGATTCTCAAGATGGCAGCGTGGGATGCATATGGCTTCCCCCAACTTCTGGCTGCTGCCCACCTCACCCTAATCTGGATCCCTGTTTAAGAATCATCAATCTGTGTGTGCTTTCGCAAGCTTCCCTCTGGTCTTGGGAATCTGCATATATAATTCACCCTGAGGCAACYCTTTCCTAACCATCTGGGAGTATATGAACTGTGCTATTGAGAGTCATAGAAGCTGGCTCTTTAGGAGGTACATTTAAGAAGGATTTTGAAAGAGCTACCAATCAAAGCACCTCATCTTTCCTCATATAGTTTTAGAATCTATAAAGGAGCGTGCATTTGTTAATTCACCCTCATGCAGGGCTGCAAGCTAACGGCTCTCTACTTGGATGCCCTTCTAGACCCTGGCCTGGGCATCCTCTGTCCCAGCTGACCTGGCTCTCTATATATCTTTCCTATATACCTTTCCTATGCCCAAARATATTAGCCTTCTCAGGTAGCTACTCAAGACAGTGTTCAACACCATAGTTAGAAAGAGTAACCTATGAAAAGAATTTTAGATAGTGATTAAGGCTTATGTGAGCTAATGGAGTAGGAGCGGGACTGGAGGTTTTTCTATATGTCTAATTTACACCCCCCACAAACACATACCTACACATATTACTGATTTCCCTTAATTTTCCAAAATCACAGGAAAATTTTGCCTCTAAAATGTATGAATCCTACTATCTTTAGCAAGAACTTGCTGGGTAAGGATAAACTAGTATAGTACAATCTAAAAAAAAAAAAAGTTGAATGTTGGTAAGTCCTTTTACTATAGCAGCCATATAGCTCTGCATATTTAGAATGGAAAGAAATGTGTTTCCCTCTCTTCTTTCTTGTTGAATAAATGGGAAGCCATATTCTCAAGCAAAGCTCCATAACTTAAACCTCCTGAAATTTTGGGGTAAAGTCATGTGTGTGAATCGTCCTAGGAAGAGGGTCAACACCTCACTCTCAGCAAAGTCAGGTTTTTTTTTTAATATTAAAAAAAGGAGCCAGAGGTGGTGGCACCCTCCTGTAATCCCAGCAGCTGGGGAGGCTGAAGCAGGAGGACTGAGAGTTCAAAGCCATTCTCTGCAATGGCAAGGCATTAAGCAACTCAGTGAGACCCTATCTCTAAATAAAATACAAGATAGGACTGGGGATGTGGCTCAGTGGTCAGGTACCCCTGAGTTCAATCCCCAGTACCCAAATAAAAAAGGAATTCTGTGTCAATTTAAAAATACATTCATCTATTCAACAAATACTAATTAAGTATTTGCCAGGAAAATATTCTGATACTTACAAATTATTAAAGAGAAAGATATCCACATCCCTTCCCCATCAATCAGAAACCCAGGATTTAATATGGGAAATATACAAAGAAACAGAAAATTTAAATATAGTAGATAGAGAAATATATAGAATTTAGTTTGGGGATGGATAGCTCCTGACAATTGCTAACTTCATGCCTTGCTTTATTTTATCCAAATAATCACAAATATTTAGATATAATTTTATTAACCCCATTATAAATTGCTAAACATTATGAACTTTTAGGTCACTCACAAATATTCAAAATCACMCATGCCCATGGCCCACATCTGGAGTGTTCAAGTTATGATCCGAGCGTGCACAGGTAACATAGGGGCACATGGGCGAGACAACTAATGCAGCCTATGGTGGGGGAGGGGGGCGGTGAAGTCTCCCCCAAAGGGGTCACAGCCAAACTGAAGCTCAAAAGATGGGCAGGGAGTCAGCTGAAGGTGGTGATTCTATGCTCCCCAAAGGAAGAAATGAGACCAATCACGATTTTTTGGATAAATTTAAGGCAAACTTATAACAACAACAATAGTAACACAATATATTAATTACTTACTATGGGTCAGGCCCTCTTGTAAGTGTTTAGCATATTCCATTAGCTCACTGAAATCTTCCCAATAACTGTATGAAACAGAAATTACTATTTCTCCCACCTTCCAGACAAAAAAAAATCTGAGGTAAAGAGAGCACAAGTGACTTTCTCAGAGTAACACAGCTAATAAATGGCACAGCCAGGATTTGAACCCAGAAARTTTGACTCCRTAGTTCACATTCCTAACTCCAGCTGATGGGGAAGAGAGGAGGAAGGGAAGGGAGGGAGAAATCAAAGCCTACAATAGTAGGAAGGAGTCAGTTCTCACAGGACCTAATTTGAAGGAGTCTGGATTTTATCCTGAACATAAAATGGGGAACCCTTGAGTTATTTAAGTAGAAGCAATGACAAAATTGGTCCTGGGTTTTAGAAATCTCTTATGGCGATGGTGCAGATTAGCATTGCCTAGATGGATCACAACGAAGACAGAGAAAGAACCTGGTTAAACTCTTCAGACAAAGAATGATATTAAAGGGGCTGGGGATGTGGCTCAAGCGGTAGCACGCTGGCCTGGCATGCGTGCGGCCCGGGTTCAATCCTCAGCACCACATACCAACAAAGATGTTGTGTCCGCCAACTAAAAAATAAATATTAAAAATTCTCTCTCCTCTCTCTCCTCTCTCACTCTCTCTTTAAAAAAAAAGAATGATATTAAAGATACTTAAAAGGGGTAAAAAGGGAGAAAGAACTAAATTGATAGGTGACTGATGAAGAATTAAGGCAAAGGACACTCTGAAGGTGAAGTTGTGGTAAGCATGGGGCTGACATAGTTGCATGTGCCACTTCTGTACTAAAGTGAGGTGGAAGAAAAAATATGCAAGGTAAACAATAGGAAACTCTGTTAGGAATCTTAAAAATCTCTGAGAACCCTTCCTTTGGAATGCACATGAATATATCCAAAGACATTTACTTAAGATTTATGCATTTGCAGGACACAGAATATAGGAAAATCTAGATGTTGTTAATGGGTTTTGAAATGCCAACATGATCATCAATGTGTTATATTTTATATGATAAAATATAAAATTGTCTGTATAGTTCTTTATATTGTGTATTTGATTTCAGCACTTTCCAGGCAACGCCCAGAGGCAACGTCTCTTACGATCTCTGCATCTTTGTCTAGTACTGCGGTTTACGGTGTTCAATAAATGTCTACTACATAAGCAGGTGAAGAAAGAAAAACAAAGAGGTTAAAACAATGACCCTGGGTGTCTGATGCTGATTTACCACCAGAAAGAATGCAAGAGGAGGTGGGGTTTTCAGGCTTGGGCAGTGTTTCTGTAATAACAGAAGGACGTATAAGTGAGATGGACATGAAGCTCAGGGAGCAGGCTGGATTAGAGATCATGTAAAAAATCATCATTATCCTAGGACTTGGCAGTTACAGCCCAGGGCATAAATTAAATCAAAAGATAATGTGCAGAGTAAGAAAAGGAATGAGGTCAGAACACCAAGGATCACGAACATTTAACCCCCGTAAATGCCAGTTCTAGAGGAGCAGCTAGCCACCTGCATTAGAATGCTACCATTATGGCTCGGCTAGGTGGTGTCTCTTAAAAGCTCCTGTGTGAATACAGGAAGTGAAATGATTTGATTATGAGAGCCATAACCTAATCAGTCCATCCAAATCTGAATGGACTAACTGGGTGGTAACTCCAGGCAGGTGGAGTGTGGCTGGAGGAAGTTAGGTCACTGGGGGCTGCTCCAAAAGGGTGCATGTTCTCTATGGCCCCTTCCCTTCCTCTCTCTCTGCATTCTGGCTGTCCTGAGCTGAGCAACTTTCCTCTGCCATGCCCAAGGAAGGGCCATGATGCTCTGCCCTATCTTGGAGCCCAGAAGAATGGAATCAGCCGCCCATGGACTAAACCTCTGAAACCATGAGCACAGAATAAAATTTTCCTCCTCTAAGTTGTTTTTATCAGGTGTTTTGGTCAGCAATAAAGAGGTAACACAGCTACTGCAACTGAATTGAATTAAAGAATTATTGACTAAGCACCTAACTAGGCAACAGTGGCATTGGAAGCTGTAAGAGCCAAAGATATGGGGAGGAAGGTCCCACTGTCTAGAAACTACAGGCTCACACAAGACTAGCATAGCATGACAGCTGAATCACAAGGGTAGGAAGCAAGTGTGTGACTGATTGATAGAAAATTACAGATAGCAAGCAGTAGTCGATTCCACAGTTTGGGGGTGACATTGTGATTCTGACTCCCTCTAAATAATGAGGCAAGTGAAATAGCCTCATTAATATTCCCAGCTCTACACTGAACTCCTTAATGATGCGTCAGAGAGATCACAGTGAACATGGAAGGCAGAGGAACAACTAACTGGCATTTCTAATTGAAATTCTAAGAG